TTTGAATAATAAAACATTTAAATCATGACTTGTCTGATTAAAAATATTAAATATTTTAATGAAGTTACACTGGCTGGACTCATTAAAACAATTGTAAATTTATATATATAATTACAAAACATTTCTTTTGAAAACAAAACACAAACATGCCCAGTATTTTCACGCTTCAATTTCTGGTCTTTGTGAAACATTTGTTCTAAATTTACTTTACATATATATTAAAATAACTATTTTTGGCCACTGGCTGTGGAGGCAACTTATTTATCCAACAGTGAAGATAAAGAAGTGATCAATGCTCATAAGGCTTCAAAGCACTGTTTTTGAAACCATTATGGTTGATTAACTTTATTTCCACATACCAGGTCACGTGCAATTTTTTTCTCATTTATTTAAAATTCTCTAAATCTTAGATTAAGATATCTGCAAAGCATTACATTTAGAAACATTATTAAAATTAATGATGATACTGCTGATAGCCACTCAGGAACATAGCTCGTAGACTTCAATGGATCAATGTTTCTGTCCTGCAAAACTGTGTTTCTTATACTTGACTTTTTTCTGCCTTTGCTGTAGTGTCAGCTTTTGAGTATTAAAACAATCAGCAATGACATGATAGCTTTCAAAAAATAAGCATCTTGGTTTCATTCATTTCTTTGGTTCTTTAAGTTTTTTCCCTTAAACATTTGCAAATTTTTTTTTTTTATCTTCCAATGAGACTAAAATTCAGTGAGTGATTGAAAATGAGCCCTGATTAAGATAAAATCAATTATGTAAATCAATAACTGTTACGAAAAACAAATATTTTCTTTAACATATTTTTTTTCTTTTTTTTTAAATACTATTCTTTAACAATATCACAAATTAAAAGCTACATAAAATTTTTGAAGTTCTGTTTCTCTATCACATTTCTTATTCACCTCTATAATTAATTTATAGTTTCCTTGTTAAATAAGCTAATACAGTCAAAAGTCGTTAATCCGGACTCGTCGGGACTTCGGCGATTCCGGATTATCGATTTTTCCGGATTATAGATCATCAGTTTAAATCTGGTAAGAAGATGGCATGCAGAAATTAAAAAAATTAAAAATATATGAAACCGTAATTTATGAAATAAAGAACAATTATGATCTAAAGGGTATCAAAATTTACAAAAAGAAAAAGCTTAATATTTATTTGTTTACTTTATTAAACATTTCCTTCAATGTAAGTTGCTTCGCTTCATGTGATAATACTTTCTCTTTAATTCTATTAAACAGACATAATTTCTTGTTTAGTTACAAAGTTCCGCTGTTCAAGTCCTACAATTGCTGTGTTGAGAATACCGACTAATTTGTCAATCGAAATGTTTTCGTTTTCAATAACCTCTGGGTCACTTTCTTCACTATTGGAAGTGAATTATAATGACGAGGAACTTGATTTAAATCATATCAAAGACGGAGTACATCAAGATAAAATACTACACTTAATTAATACGGAATTATAAACCAAATAAAATAAAAACATCTTCCCTGAAGATAAGGATAGTGCTGACAGATCAACTTCCAATCCGCCGCGTGAAATTGATAAACAGATTTCGGATCTCAAAACATACTTTCGCTTTGTAGATACAAATTACATATTAGTAAATATATATCGGAAATTCTATTTGACATAATCTTTCTAATCTATATTGCTCTAACAGTCTGCAAAAAATAATAAGCCGGATCCAATTCGAAGATTAAGGAACAACGCAATCGGCAACATTAACTGAATTAGATAACTTTAGCTTAGCGTATAACTCCGTTACAATTTAAACGCGCATGCGCACAAACATATTCGCAGCCGTAAGGGTCTTACGCGCTCTCGTAAACGCCTGTGCCTCTCTCTGTAGAGAGGCCTGTGCCTCTCTCTGTGAACGCGACGCATGCGCAGAAAGTTTGTAGCTTTGAGGTCCGGATTATAGATCATTCCGGATTATGGGTGTCCGAATTAACGACTTTTGACTGTATACCACATTTTTATTTTAGATTTAGATGTGCACCATATTATTACCATTTGATGTACCATATTTCTACTTTCTAAAAAACTTTGAAAACCTCAACAAAGGTAAATCCAATTATTAAAATTTTAAGAGCCATCACAAATGGTCATCCTCTCCATTATAATTACCTCCACAGATTACCAAAATCATCTTGAAACCCAAGTAGTCACTTAAGAGAGAGGGTTCACTGTATATATGCATGGATACAGAGATATATGTGTAACTATTTATTGACGAATTCAAAATAATTTCCTTGATACAACAGTTTACAACCAGTTTTTTATAGTATATTTACACTTTTTTAATGCTTTTAATTTTAGTATTATCTCTGTGGACACAAAAAAACTATCCAGACTTCATTAATTTTTATTTCATAAGAATTTGTACAATTATGATTATATGAATGAAATTCCAATTTATTTATACAAATATAAAGATTGCAACAGAAATGAAGCAACAGCAACTTTCATTAGAAGTGGCAAGTAAAATAAATCTGACTGTATTCCAAAGAAATATATTAATCCTTTACTTAATTCCAAAACGGCATATCACCAAATACAACTGATTCAACTGTTTAAACAACAAAACATTTCTTACACAACAAACAACTAACTAATTAGAGGCAACTGATTAAAGCACAGAACTACTTCTGAACATTAAAAAAAAGGGGGGATATCTTTCTTAGTTTTTCAACTGGAAAGGCAATAATCTTTCATTAATGTTAATAAATAATAGCTAAAATCCTTTTCTTTGAAATTAAGTCATAATATAGAAATCAACTAGAAAATGAACTTGTGTTTAACATAATAAATATTTATATGTCAATATATGGAAATTTAAAAAGAGAATTAAAATCATTCCTAAATTTGACAATGCCAAACATTTAAAAATGTGAACTAATTGAAGATATTTAAATATGATCTTTTACCTTATTCCATATCTTAACACTAGATTACTCACTGATCATTAATCTAATTAACCCACTAACACTAACTCAAAAACAGTACTTGCACAGTTTTAAAACTTAAAAACTCCACTTCATGAAACAGCAATAATATGATAAATCAATAGAATGACAGGCAAAGTTAATAAGAATACATATTAACAGGATGGAATGTATTTTTCTAATGAATTGTAAATTTTTTATTAACTCCATAAAAATTAAGAACTAGCTCACAATATGCACTAACTGTTTTACTTTCACAAAAAGCCTCAACCTTCTTAGTAATTTTAGGATAAGTTTTTATGCACTGGAAGAAACTTGTAAAAATATCTCAATTATTTACAGCAATTTCTTCTAATTTTGAAAACAACCAGGCCATAAAATTTAGTACCTGATTTTTTCCCCCTCCTCTTCTCTTCCAATATTTAGAACTAATAAAATGTATATACAGCACTTCGGAAGAATGCAGTTTTTACTCATAACAACAAGTGACTCTGCAGACGTTCTCATTAAATAAGAAAGGTAATGATATGATATTCCCTCCCCCAGTTTTCTCGTAAGTGACTTCAGATGACATTTATTTTTAAGACAATTGGTAACAGTATGTGTTATTACTGAAGCTCTTACTAATTTTAAATTAATCATAGATGCAAATTCAGTTATGAGGTCCTGGGAAAAAAAAAGAGAGAGAGAGAGGGAAGGAAATAAATGTTCTTTTCCTTTGCTTTTTTTTTTTTGTTTGTGTGTGTGTGTGGGGGGGAAGTTGAAGATAAAGGAAAAAAAGCTATGTTACGAAGCTAGAAAAAAATGCATTAGAACTCAGCTTAAAATTAATATTACTTGTATTTTGTAACATAAAATATTAGATTCAACTACTGACAGAGAGAATAACTTAAAATATATAAGTATTCATAGCAGAATAATTATTACAACACCATGCATGTCTAAAATTAAGGCAACAAAATAAAAATTATTAAATGGACTAGTAATCTGAATAATGGAACTTCTATTTAAATAGTAGCATTGAATTGTAGTATACTATTTACATGAAAAGGCAGACCTTACTACTATTATGAATATTTAATCAATACCTCTATACATTGTACTTGTTACCTCATAGAAAATAACAAATGTGCAATTGGAGCACTGCACAAAAAAAATTGGTAAATAAAATTATAATATGAATTAGCCAATTCTGATTAGTGTACTTCAGCATACACTACTATGAATTAACAAAAAATTGTACAAACAGAGCATTATTTTCAACTCATAGTTTTTTTACGAAGTCACAGTTACTCACTCTAATTCTTGGAGATAACATTTTATGAGTTTATGTTACTGCATTTGAAATATAGGCAGATAGTAATGAAAACAACCGACACTGTCATTTTATTTGTAATAAATCACAATATGTATGCATTTATTTTATGAATGCAAAAAGAAAATGCATTTAACATAACTTTTTCATCACATCCCTAATATTAATTATTAAAATATTACCTTCATTTATCTGTTATAAAAATTAAGCTATTTGAGGTAAATTTTTTTAATCAGCATTTCATGTTATTTAACTTACGTGCACACTGATGTACAAAATTAAAGGATAACTTAACAAATAAACTTTACTTACAGTTCTTAGTTTATATGCAATTCAAGCTGCTATAAATTTCTGTATATGGAAATTGAATATGAGGAATAATGAAATATGGCAATATGCAAAAGCTGTTGTGTAGAATACACAAATAAAAACATCACTATAACTAGATGAGCATTAAGACTTGCTATTATTCATACTCTGAAAGGTTAATGAAAGTCAATGTGTTTTAACCTTTTGAGGCCGGGGCTTTGGTAGAAGTAAAAGCTACCAAAGGACGGGGAATCTTGAACCGAATGCTTCCCCCCTTTAAGAAATCACCTCCTATTTGCAACAAAGATTCTTGTGTGTAGTTTAATGGATTCTCAGAGGGGTGCATCTATGTCACAAAAGGAAAACCTTTGAAAGAGATAAGAGGTTAAAACCCTAGGGACGTCAAATTTGATCCCACTTTTCAGCCTGGAAAATGGGGGGAAAAGACATGGCCACTAAAGTGGACAACCCCGTCTTTTCAAAGAAAGGACTCTATGGCCACTATAATGGCTATCCCGTCTTCAAAAGGTTAAGGTACTGCCACTCAGAGACATATTTCAGATGAGCTACAACAACTACCGTTGTTGTTGTTGTTTGGCCAATTGCAAAGGCATCATTCGTTACCAGATCTACATAGAATTAAATAATTTTCAAAAAAAGTATCATCTCAACATGAAAGCACTTTTGTAGTACAGGACATTCTCTCCTGAGATCAAACATCTTACAGTTTGAAAAGTGATTTTTGACAAACTTTCATCAACATTTCATCAGATAATAGGAAAAAGTGAATTTTTATAAATGCAGTTTGCTTTTCTATCACATTAAAAGGTGCTAAACCCAAGCTCCACCTAATGGATGATAATGCCAGCCTTCATTGAACTTGTTTGGTCAAAGACTCACCAGACTCGTACCCTATTAAACATGCCTAGGATACCTTAGAATACTGAATTGCAGAATGCCAACCCCCAACAAGGATCTTGCAGAAATACAAATTAATCCCTTAAAATACAGGGGCATTTAAAATTGACAGAAAAATGAGACCACCATGGAAAAATGTTGCCAGCATTGTATATTAATTTGATGTGATAATATACTGTATTTAATGTTTGAAACAACAATAACTTTAATTTTTCCTTTCTGTTATCATATGAGTAATTTCTCTTTGAGTTACTGGACAATTCTACAGTCCACAAATAGAGTAATATACCTCTTTTAAAGTTCTTTAAAATTGCATTTCACTTCCTTTCATACATAGCTATAAATATTAAATTTCCTACACTATCCTTTAATTTGTACATCAGCAGTTTGTTTTCAGATCTAATAGACTTCATAAAATAAACTTCAATTACAAAAAATTTCTCATAGATTCAAAAATCTGAGTGCTGTAGATCATTAGACAGATGCTAAACATTTGCAATGATTAATTATTATTCACCCCTTTTCATTATCACCTTCCATTAACTTCATTTTTTTTTTAATACTATACAGTATGCAAATAATCTAAATTTTACAGAAAAAAAAAAAAAAAGTTTAAATGAACTATTCAATTGTATGATTGTAAATGTGTTAAATTATAATACCTGATTACTGTACTGCTTTAAAAATATTGCTTCAAAAGGTGTTTTAACTATCAGATTTTTATAATAGGAGATACACCTATAAGTAATGAAAGACAAGTATACAGTCTCCAGGCCAATGAGTAATTTTCAGGTTCATACTTATTCCATATAATCTAAAATTAACTTTTATAATAATTAACTAATAAATTTTATAACTAGCTTTCTAATTTGAACTTTAAGTCATTTTTGCTTGGTAAAAAAGTAATGAATTCATATGAAGACAGAATAACAATGTAACTGGTGGAAAAGAATGTTAATGCCTCCTAAAAATATTAATAGTTATTATTTTATATGGATTTTCAGGTTTACATAAAACATATACCAAAACTATTTCACTTAATAATTTGTTTTATACAAACACACTGTCCATACCTTTTGCTACAAATATAAATATTGATAACGCTCCAACTCAAATATAAATAATGAATTGATAAATTAATTAGGAATAAAAACAACTGTGAAAGGTGCCCTTTTCTTTGAAGGAAATGGTTATCACTTGGTCATCTTTTACTCTTCTAAAAAACGTTATGTACCTTGATTCACAGTAGTCACCACACTTTCTCTTGACTTTAAAATAAATTCAAGCTATGCACCTTAATAAACCTAATATTTACATTATGTCAAAATTATGCAGGCTATTATTACTGGGGAAATGGCCTGGCTAATTGCAGTGAATGTTTTTCAGCGTGATATATGCGAAATATTTGACTTAGAACAGGTGCTATATCTGGGTCGCTAAGCCACCGGCAGGCACTGGTAGGATTCTCCAGCATATGAAGGAGAGCTGCGGATAAATAAGCACATAAGAACAGAACATAATGTACATGCAAAACAGTGTATTCATTACAGTAGGAAACAGCAAAATTAAAAATAATAAAAGAAAGCTCAAAACTTTTTGTGCTCAAAGGATAGCTCAGAATTTTTACCTCCCAATAAAATATTGTTACAAAATGTACAGGCGCGGTCAGATGGCTTCCCCGCAAAGCAGGTTTAGGGTTGCTATAAAATGGCAAGGGAAGGCAGGGTTCCCACATTTGGCGAGAAATCGCATATTTGGTGGTAAAATTGGCAATATACCTTGGACTGTTGAAGAACCTTCTGGAACGAATTCTTACTGGTTTAGCCCAGAATGTTCTCGAACACAAAAGCTATAAAAACCCTGCTGATACGTGGACAGTGCGAATGAGTTAGTATCGAGTGAGTGTGTCTGGTCTAGAGTGCGAGTATCTTATCTAGTTAGTTCGTGCAGAGACGATTGAGTTGACAGCTGGCCAGCGAGTGCCGAGTAGGTCGTCGAGTGCACCGAAGGAGTGTCTTAGTGCATCGTCGAGAGAGCATGTTGAGCTCCGGAAACGACTGAACCGAAGAGTCGGGAGCTGTGCTCTGTGTTCCGTCGAGTGCATCGTGAGTTGCAGCGTGGAGAGTCTCGAGAGTACATGGAGTTCCGAGAAGGACCAAGCAGAGTCGGGAGCTGTACTCTGGTACTTTGCAATGAAGCTGTCTCCACCGTGATAGCCTGACAGTGTGAAGGCTGTGTCACTGATTGTTCAGCGTGTGTATAGTAGATCTTTGACTACTGTAAATCGTGACTTATGGAGCTGTCCTGACAATACTGACCAATAAAGTGTGTTTCGATACTTCATCAAGTGTTGTCGTTATTCACTCCATACAAACATCCATACAAACCCCATACAAACTCCGTACAAACGTGAAGGAAGAAAATAACGTAACAACTGGTGTCAGAAAAGAAAAACGCAACAATATACAAGGATAATCCAACAAATGTGAAAGATTTAGAATGCCAACATAAAGAGTAATTCAGAAAGAAGTGCAAAGTTCTAACAAGTAACTTCGCATTCTGATTAAAAAAATTAACTATTAATATGTACTCACTGAGACAGATCTTGCACTTCTATATGTTAAATATGAAGGTTTACTTACTATAACAGAGGTTCTTGTAATATTCTATTGGTATCTCAATATTACACTAAGTATAGGAAGTGTCCAGGTTAATGGATGTAAATAAGTATATATTACAGACCACGTACTTACAGACACGTACCTTATAAGAAATAGACTAACCCAATTGGGTTTTCTCCCTTGTCTGAGGCATTCCTGGCTGTCACCTTGATCACATCTGGATGAGTAGGGACGACTTGCAGAAATTTAACAGTGGTTGCCTATTGCAGCGTGTCAAGAAAATGCTCGTTGTAGCGCCTCATTTCACAAATTAGAACTTCTACATATTTTTATTTTTGAAATTGAGATTGATTTTTTAAAAATTTAGCATATTTATCAAGCATAATTAACGTTCCAAATAATTATAAAGCTATTGCATGCTTTCAGGGCTGGAGATTTTTTAGCTTTTCCTATGCTGTAAAGAAATTTGTAACTATATCTTTTAGAAAATAATATTTTTAATCTGAACTAATAGAAAATTTCAAACAAGCAATTTTCTCTTGCAATTTTTATGCTTTTTATTGTTGTAAATAAGTAAAATATACTAAAATATTTAAAACCGAATTTTTGAAAGTTTTGTTTAAATTCTAAACTGTGCTGCTTTTTTAAAATTATAGATGAGTATTATAGCACTGTTTCTATAAAGGAATTTTATTTCAATTATATTTCCTAATACATCATAGTGATAAACACTTTTGACTCCTTAATAATTTTTATACATTTAATTCTAATACTAAAATTGTATTTAACCATAATAATTAATAATTGCTTGTATTTTATACTGTATATATTTATTTTTAGTTCTGCATAAGATTTTTTTTATTTACTGTTAATTTAATTTATTAGCCCAAAGGGGTGGTAGCCTAGAAAGGCTGTTAGATTCGAAGCGGCATTTTGCGCTGTTTCACTATAAATGTCCGTGTCTCCTTGTAAATTGTTAATACCAAATATTATCTCCCTGTATTACATTTAAAGAAATTAAATAATGAAGAATCTGCCTGAATACATGTATGTTTCTCGCACTGTGACAAAAAGCCATCAAATTTTGAATAATGTAATCCTTTACTCGAACATGGGCATCTGAACGGCCGAATTTCGAATTTGTTTTAATCTATTTCATATTTTGTAAAACTCTAACGAATTTTTAAACTCTTATTAACAAACTCAGCGAGTTCAGAGCGAGCACTGTACGGAAAATAACAGTTTTTATCTCCAGTGCGGAAGTTCTAAAGATATGTTGTTTTCAAATGTATATGGTTTACCGGCGAAGAACATGATATTCAATAAATATAGGTAACACACAAAACCTTAAGAAAAGGTTCCTTTTGGGCGTAATATAAAATCTGAGTGCTTCTAGATTTTATTTTACCCTTTTTTCCCCCCTTCATTACACTCAGAAAATTTTATGCTCCAAATTTATAAATTACTAAAACCACTTTAATGTTAATAAGTTTATGATGATATAATCAAATAAATGATTGTTTTGTAATGTTATTATAGTTTTGAAAATCACTGCCTGAAAATGCTCATTAAATTAAAATATATATATATATATATCAGATCTTGTTTAATTTTACCTTATTCATTTCAAAGCATCACATACTATCAATCTTATTTAATTTTATGTTATTTGTACGCATAATTAAGTTCATAAATTTTGTGCTTAGAGTTTTTACTGTTTTACCAAAGTAAAGATGTTCGTACAAAAATTACACGTGAGGTGACGTGCGCCCCACCCACTGGGTTAGTCTATCTCTTATAAGGTCCATGACTGCAACAATGCACAGGACAGCCTCTAGGTCTGCAATGAACTGTGGAAGGCCTCTCAGATTTTCCATGTACATTCCCTCGTATAGATAATCCCACAAAAAATTCAGGAAATATGAGAAATTACAGTTCTTTCAAAATGATATGAATTTGCTTTTATTATAAAGTGAACATTTTAAGCTAGGGATTGGTTCTCAGTGGGTTCATATTGACCCACTAGGGTCAACAGTCAAACATAAATAATGAATTGGTAAATTAATTAAGAATAAAAGCTGTGAGAGGTTCACTTTTCTTTGAAAGAAACAGTTATCACTTGGACCTTTTACTCTTCTAAAAAGCTTTATGTATCTTGATTCACGGTAATCACCATACTTTCTCCTGACTTTTTAAAATAAATTTAAGTTATACACCTTAAATAAATAAAATGAAAAATAACTAAAATTGTTTATTTTTTTAATCAATAGCATCTTTTAAATATATAATATTATATATTTTTATGCTTTATGCTTCAAATTTTAAGTGCAACATAAAAAGCAAAAATGCAAAAACAAAAAAAATTCAGCCAAAAAAAAAATATGAAGAATGCAAAGCTAATGAACCACAGCAAAATCTACACTTATTCTTTATTTCATGCCAGCCATTGAAACTTATGACAAGTTTTGGTCAACTGGCAATTATATCATCAATATGTATGAGCACTCTTTACATCCACGGTTTTTAAAAGCATTGTGACAAATACTGAGTCACAAAGTATTCTTTGAAAGAAATGCTATTCAAATAAATAAAATCAAGCTTGAAACAAAGAACAATGATATGAATAAACATGATTAAAGTACACAATGCAAATGAATAAAAAATTTGTAAATAACTTTTTGAAGAACTTTGAAGTTCCTACAACTCAAATAATTAAAATAAAATTCTTTAAAAAGAAAAAAAAATGTAAAAAATAACAACTGTGATTACAAAATATATTATTAAAAAATATTTTTAAGAAAGAAGAAACAACATATTTTTTTCACACATTCAGAATGAAAGGTAAAGCAGAAAGATTAAAATAAACAGAAGTTTGCCAAGTGAACTACTCTTGGGAAGCAAAGACAGTGTACTAAAATATATTTATGAATATCTCTCCAAATTTTAGAAAATTTGGTTTTTAGGCATAATTTGCATCACAGAATCGAAATACGGGAAAAAAAAGAATTGGCAAGTTATTTCAGGAAAAGTCTAATTTTGTATCCAAAATCACACATTGGAATAATGCTATATATCCTAAATCCTGCTTCTAGAGACATGAAAAACATATAAGTTGAAACATATAAATGTGTCGGCTGGCTGAGTAGATTTGGGTGATACAGAGCTGTTTCATTTTTCTTTTGAGTCAGTGTACATATTATTTGTGTGCATAAGCTTAGCATTGTACCATATATTGAAGTAAAACAAAATTAAATACAAATGTTAATTGATTAAACATTGCTTGAATCTTCATATAAAAATCTACAAGTGTCTGCAGAAGATTAAGACAATATCAATAAAATACAATACAAAAAATATAATTCAGATAAAATATTATTTAATATGAAAAAATTATTCTGAAAATCATTAGAGGTGGGAGAATTGAATTTTCCTAATTAAAGTTTCATTTATTGTTGGAAACACTTTCCTTAATAAAGGCTGAAAATTAAAAATCGAGAGATCTAGTGATCTACTGGGAGACCAGAAGCTGTGATGAAACACTGGGAGTCTCCCAACAAAATCGGGATAGTTGCCAGCTGAATATTATATGGTTAGCACACACATTTTATAAAAAACATTCAACAAAATTATTGCTTGTGGTGCTTAAATTTAACACTACTTATTTAGTTTGAACATTTTGAAGTATTATATATATTTTAAATTTAAATAACTACCTAAAAATGTCTTTGGATTGCTGAGACCTAGTTGAACAACGGCATTAGACATTATGGACTTGTAAATGGGACCTTCAGGATCTAAACCTTCAACATCTTCAAAATTAGGTTTTTTATCACTCAGAAGCCAGTCACACTGAAAATAAAATTGTAATCTCAGAACATAACAATATCTTCAGGCATCTTTTTTTTTTTAAACTCTAGTACCCTTATTTACTCCTCAACTCATTAAAGCACACAATGATTTCCTCATATAAAACAGGAAGAAAATCATAACTGAATAGCACTTATCAAGATAATTTAATTGCCATTTAGTATGAATCATTCAAAAACTTCCAATTAAAAGATTAAAAATTAAAAACTTCAATTACTTAATACACAACAGAAGTTATCAATAATTTTAGATTCACATCAACACAATTGAGAATTTTTGCTGCACAATACATTCTCAAAATTGCAAATTCTGAATGTTCTCAATAATTTTTTGTTATTACAACAATAACTAATAATTCTAAAAGCATTTAAAAACTTTTTTATGGCTAACTAGATAATGAGAATTTTCAGTTAAAGTTCAGGTTTGATAATGTCTTTAACATAATAAAATGTCAAACAAGCTCCACTTTGATATACTGTGTCCAGATTAATTAAAAAAAAAAAAAAAAAAGATTTGCTGTGAAACATAAAAAAATCTCTTAAATATCTATGCCTCACCAAAATATGGGGAGGGGAGCTGAACTGATATTTATTTAAATTTGTATCTAAATAATTTCTGTACTTTTAATGAAGCTTGTAATTAACAGTAAAATATCTCAAGCTATTCACTATGTTTGTTCAAATTTAATTTTAGCACATATATTAATTTCTTCTAATGCAGGTATTTTAGTAAACCGTATACAGTCTAAAGTCTTTAATCCGGACTCGTTGGGACTTGGGTGATTCCGGATTATTGGTTTTTCCGGATTATATATCATCAGTTTAAATCTGGTAACATTGCATGCAGAAATTATAAAATTAAAAATACAAAACCATTATTTATGAAATAAAGAGCAATTATGATCTATTTCAAATGATATTTATGAGGTATCAAAATTTACAAAAAAAAAAAAAAGCTTAATATTTATTCATTTATTTTATCAAACATTTCTTTCAACGCGCGCATGCGTAAAGCATACATTACGCATAGTCGAAATTAGAAAATTACAACCAGAAAAGTATTTGATGTGTATTCCTGATATTTATAATGACGAGAAATTTGATTTAAATCATATCAAAGACGGAGTACATCGAGATGAAATACTACATTTAGTAAGGAGTTATAAGCTGAATAAAATAAAAACATCTGCCCTGAAGATAAGTGTCATATTCTGCTTCTTGGGCGTACAGGTTCTGGATATATATTTGATTTCTACCGTAGACATATCGTAATAAGGGCATTGCATAAAGCTAAACATTTAATGGCACAAAGACTTTATTAACACACGAACAAAATAATAAGAACAAACGAGTAACACAAAAGTATAACTGCGTATTTTCATCCACGCTGGCATACAGCATGTTACCTTCGTTACTTCACTACCAACTGCTAACTAACTACTCTTTTCTAGTAAGTCACATGAGAGAAAGGCGTTGCAGGCCGTTCAGCTAAACTGCGCATGCGTGGTCATCACGTCATGACACCTCCTCTCTAAAAGATTTGACTGTATCTTTCAATTACCTGTCAAATCCACACATATAAACATTTCTTGAAACAAAATAAAATAACATTCATGAAATTTTCAAACTTAATTAACCAACTCTTACCATTTTAAATTAAAATTACTTCAACATAAATTCAATAGTCCTATTCATTTAAAAGTAGTAACATTCAATTAACTTTTAAACTTAAATCCTTCACATAATCATATAAGCAGTTAGCATATAAATGAGACAATACAAATCAATCATTTAAAATTAAACATAATACTTTAGCAAACTCTGACTAAACATATTACATAACGTTAAAAAAAATTAGCATTTTAGCTAAAAAAAAAATGTTCAAACTAAACAGTCAAAATGTCTTATAGTTCATAGTTCATAACTTCAGTCATGCTTCCAGTGAGAGGCAGTCAATCGAGATAACAAATCTGCATTAATATGATCTTTTCCTTTCCGGTATGTAATCACTGCATGAAATCGCTGTAATGCTGAAGACCAGAGAACTTTGTGAGGAACATTCGGTGAGAAATCTGAGAGGGTTATGATCACTAACGATGACTATCTCAGAACTAAAGATATAAGCTTCAAACTTCTTCAGGGCAAAAATAACGGCAAACGCTTCCTTTTCAATAACAGCGTAAATTTTTTGCGTCTCAGTCAACACTTTACTAGCGAAGGCTATTGGATGTTCTACACTATTTTCATCTTGCTGAGCCAAACAAGCTCCTACAGCATATGCTGATGCGTCTGCGTAAATGATGAAAGGCAAACTAAAATTTGGAGAGTAACATTTAGAGGCATTGCAAATGGCATGTTTTAATTGAATAAACGCTTCATCATGTTCCTTCAGCCAAGTAATTTCGTTCGAAGGCCTTCTTTTTGTCAATGCAGTTAAAGGTTGTGCTATCGCAGAAAAATTGGGTATGTAAGACTGGTAATATGATAATAGTCCTAAAATACTTCTTACATCTTTCTTAGTACGGGGAACTTATAAATTCTGTATGGCTTCAACTTTTTCTGGGTCAGGTTCGTGTGAACTGGAACCAACTACATGTCCTAAAAATTTGATTTTATGCTTTGCAAATTCACACTTATTGAAATTAACCATGAAATTTGCCTTTTCTAGCATACTTAAGACTTTGTTAAGATGTTTCAGATGTGTATTCCAGTCATCAGAAAATATAATCACGTCATCAATATAAGAATCAACATAGTCTTTATGTTCGGCGAGAAGCTTGTTCATAGTCCTCTGAAAAGTTGCGGTGGCATTCTTTAATCCAAAGGGTAAAACTACAAAGGCATATTGTCCTCTATGGGTCACAAACGACGTCCAAAGTTGGCACTCAGGCTTCAGTCGTATCTGCCAGTACCCTTTAAGAAGATCAATCAAAGTGATGTATTTGGACTTTGACACTTGGTAAATTAGGTCTACAGTGTTTTTCATCAGGAAGGCATCAGTTTCCATCTGTGAGTTCAGGTATCGATAGTCCACACATAATCTCACAGTTCTGTCTTTTTTTTTATACACAAACTACCGGATGTGCATATTCACTCTCTGACTCAACAATTAGCCCTAGCTGCAATAGCTCATCTATTTGTCGATCAACTTCATTTCTCAGAACTTCAGGTATTCAATACGGTTTCTGCTTTCTTGGCATACTTCCAGGTTTCGGTGTGATGCTGTGTTTCCCAACATTGGCGATTTTCGGAATACCAGCTCTTAGGTTCTTATGCCTTCTTAAAATTTCCATAAGTTCTTTCCTCTTATGCTGTTCAAGGAGCGTAAAATCACATTCTTCATTAGAATAGTGTTCTTTTGCTTTCTGTGGAACAATTCTTGGAACGTTTTCAACTTCACAGAAATCAATATCTGTATCTTCATATACAAGAGCACAACATTCTATTATCTTCTTAACAGTTTCATTACATTTTTCATTAATTAGGTTTTCCCTATCATGGTTAAGTATTTCGTTAAAACTTTCAGTTTCATGAAAAGGCATTTCAACGAAATTATCATTAGTAATGTTTACATTTTTTACATTCAAAATTAAACTTTCTTTTATCATCTCCCCTTAGCTCATTAAAAGCACTTAACAACAAGAGTAAATCATTACATAACTTATCCACCATTGCACATGTTATAAAAATGACATAAATGACATAAATTTATCATCTTCAGAAAACATTGCCAAAGGTAGGTTAATGAGAGGAGCTTTTAAAGCTTGCCCAAAAGCTGACGTGAGAATAACAATTTCATGTGGCGTACGGTATATTTCTGGTACAATGTCAGCCTTGAGAACGGTTAATTGTGTGCCTGTATCTGCTACTGCATTAGTTAATTTACCATTACATATAAGTTTAGTGGTTGGCAAGTCATCTATTAATTCCTTAACTTCTTGATTCGCAGTAAAATATTTAGAAGAAATCTTTGCTGTTACGGCGTTAGAATTATTCTTGCTTTCTTCCTTAGCAACCCTTTCCTTACTTTCATGCAACAATATATTATGATACTTAGAGTTACATTTTGAACATTTTAATCGAGAAGGACAATTGTTTGTTCTACAATTCCTTTCGAAACAAAGAAAGCACCGATTAGAAGCCTTTAAACTCTTTTTCCTTTCTTCCAGAAACATAACGCATTTTTCTGAAACATAATTTTCGCTTTCACAAAATAAGCAAGGGAAAGTTCGAACAACTGCAATTTTGCTTACATTAGGGGAATAGCTGGCGCCAAATTTGTTGGCGTTGAATGAATTCCGAGTGTGGAAGTTGTTTCGCTTTTCATTGGGTTGAGAATGCCTTCCAAGAGAATTAGCGTAACTCTTAGAATAAAATTAATTTAATGAAGTTCGTTTGCGACTTTCAATTTCCTGTTTTAGAAATTTCATGAGGTCGTCGACATTAAAATTTTCCTCATCTGCGTTTTGACGAGCAAAATCAAGCGTTATATCCTGAGGTATGTATTTCATTAACAAAGGGTATAGTAAATTTACATACGATTCGGTTTTCACCCCTATCGAATTTAGTGACCTACTTGTACGTTGCAGGTGTCATATAACTCCCTCAAAGAATTAATGTCATTAAAACTACAGACAGGCCATAAATTTAAAAGTTTATGCATGTAAGAATTAACAAGGAGATCCTTTTGACCATATCTCTCTTTAAGAATTTTAAAAGCTTCGTCGTAGTTTTCTGGAGATAAAGAAAAACCTTTTATTGTTTTTAGAGCTGCACCACCTAACAGGCTAAGCAAGTAATTAAACTTATCCACTTTAGATAGTTTTATTAGTATATAGATAGATAATTCAAAATTTACAAAAAAAAAAAAAAAAAAAAAAAAAAAAAGATTAATATTTATTTGTTTACATTATTGAACATTTCTTTCAATGTAAGTTGTTTAAGTTGCTTTGTTTTTTGTGCTAATACTTTCTCTTTAATTCTATAAACAGACATAATTTCTTGTTCAGTTCCACTGTTCAAGTCCTGTAATTGCCGTGTCAAGAATACCAACTAACTTGTCAATCGAAATTTTTTCGTTTTCAATAACCTCTCTGTCACTTTCTTCACTATCGGAAGCGGTACATCGAAACATGCTTTCACTTTGTATATCCTTTGGCAGCTCCAGAATCATAAATTCTTTTTGACATAATCGAAAGTTCAAGCTTACTTTTATAAAATTGCTCTAACAGTCTGCAAAAAATAATAAGCCGGATCCAACTAGAAGATTAAGGAACAACGCAATCTGCAATATTAACTGAAATAGATAATTAGATCATTTTAGCTTAGCTTATAAACATCCGTTATACATTAAAGGTGCATGCGTACAGGTATTATGTGCATGCATAAATGCATATGTGCATGCGTTATGCGTTTACGTATGCGCAGAAAGTTTGTAGCTTTGAGGTCCGGATTATAGATCATTCCGGATTATGGACGTCCGGATTAAAGACTTTTGACTGTACTTTATGACCTTATTGTCAGTTAGTTAAGTAGTACACTTGTTATATATGCTAATCAGATAAGCAATAAAAATGCACAGGATATCAATTCAGGTATACTAGATTATTTGGATATGGCAAAGCACATGAGAGCTATCTACCTGAAGGAAGAGACGCCCTCATGACGGGCTTTCCAAAGGGAACACTTGTATTCACATTATACAAGGGGAAAATCATGAGAAGCCAGTCTATTTGCCTGGGTTCAAATGACTAAGTATTCAGTAGTTTTTACTATTTGGCCATTGATGCGGTCATTTAGGTATACTACACAATTTTTTAATTATTTGTATATCTAATTATTTTAAATTTAAAATTCAAATGATACTTGAATAACAATATTAATCCTACGACTATAGAAAATAATTATTCAAATTTACAAACAAACAAACAAAAGAGAAATTATTTCTCTTGAAAAGAAATAAAAAATTCCCGAGCTTCAAAGCTTTTTTAAAGCAAAAATTTTGGTGCTGCTTGAGAACAATTCATCACTTTATCTAAGACACTCACTACTGCTAAAAATAGGACACACATTTTAACTGACATCTTACAGCAGAGTCTTGATCATTTCCATTCATTCTTAAGGCATCTAAAATGTCTGCTTCGGCAAATCCCATTTCCTTCAAATTTGCTAAAGCCTGAAACAAAAATAAATAAATAAATAAAAGATTAAAATAATTTTATTTTAAAAAGAAGGAAATAAAAATACAGCTGAAATTTTCAAAGATTTTGGATTATAGGGAAAAAAATTATGCTAGTTTATATTGCTCATACTTTTTAACACTCAATCTTCACTGGGGTTTAATTTAAGTTTTAATTCCAATTCATGCAAATATAAATGAAAGTTATGGTCCTGAAACAAATAAATAATAAACACAAACTAATACTTCAGTTATAGGAAAAGTACGTACAGCAGTGCTTGGCCTAAAAACTTTTCTTTTATATGCACGAAAACACTGGATCATTTCCACTAATCTACTGTCTTCACTACTGGCAGTAGCTCCTTGTGATGTACTAGGCAGCTCTGTTTGTTCTTTCTGAGTATTTACAGGTGCAGGCTTTTCTACTTTAAACCAGATATTTAAAAATTATAAATTTATTATAAATAAAATTATACAACTTCAGAAATACAAAATTATACATTTTTATTGTTAAAACATTACAGCACAAAAATTACAGCATATATTCATACCATTTTCAAGTTAGTAGCGATCATGCATATTGAGTGCAGTACACCAAAACATAGCTACTAATACTCTATAGTGGTTTCTTGGTAAATGAGAGTGATCCATTTCAGGATTACCAATATTATCTACAGCATGATTTCCAACAAGTATAATGATGGTAACATCTCTGCCCCACAACCATTATGAATGTCAAATATACAGATAAAATTCATTTTAATATCATAAAAACATGGTACGTATAATTTATATATTTATATTTGCAAAAAAAAAATTATCATTAATAAAATGAATAGTTCATGAATGCAGTTTTTAAATGTCAGTCTTACCAGAAGGACAATTTAGCTCACCCAGAGTTTTGATTGATGGATCTGTGAAAAACATGAGCAGCTTTTTCCTCTTTTTTTTTTTTTTTTTTTTTTTTTTTTGTATAATATCTGGTTGTAACAGAAGTTTTTCCCCAAAAAACATTCTTAATAAAGTTAGGGGGGAATATGAAAGCAATACCTTTAGTATGGGTAGTAATCACCACTCAAATCTATGATTTCCTGCCAACAATTTAGTAGCTTTTTAAAGCCTTGAGCCCAGAAACTTGGTAGCCATGAGCCCAAAAACAGATCAACCTCATTTCAGATATACTGTGTAGAATGGAGGATAGCACTACAAGATGTAGCTGAAAGTGTGAAAAAATGTAGAAGACTAAAGTGAGGTAGGGGCTATATGGTGTGTGTGGCAAAAGATACCATTCGAGTCCATAGAGTCCAGACAGTGAATGCTATTGCCATATGTGGTCTTTCATTATCTTGATAGAACATTACCTTTTTTTGTGCCAGAACTCAGTTCAATGTTTCTTCCTTAATAGCAGCATTAACATGAAATAGCATCTCACAGTACACCTTACAGTTGAGAGTTGTACCTTTTCCCATATAATTTACAGATAAAAAGCATGATCTTTTTGTTAGTCAAATTGCAACTTTGTGACACTGCCGACAGGTTCACCGGGCACAGACCACCTCCCTTTCAGCTAGTGTTGTTGAATTAAATCCACTTTTCCTCACAAACAACCTGATCAAGAACATGATCCGGTCCAAAATTTTGTCCTTACGTTGATATTTGTGCAGATCAGTGCAGGCTCAACGATGTCTGTCCTTATCTGCTTGAGTTAGCTCATGCAGCAACCGGCGACTGGACTTGTAAATCAAATTTATACGGTGCATAGCGTGATTAGCCGACATGGCACTAATGTTTAACTCCTTAGTCTCTCGAGTGGTTGCATACTGATTTTCTTCCACAAGTTCTTGAATGTCATAGTCCTTCTTTTTGAACTTTTGGTACCAAACCGTCACAGTGTCATATGATACAACATTAGCTTTACATGATTTGGTGATATTCTGCAGCTGATTTCTTGCAACAGCACTGGAAGTAAATGATGGTTCTAATCTGATAGCATGATAGTTTCATTTCAGACACCTTGTACTTGATAACAATATTTTTTTTTTTACAAATTTCACGACATAGTGTTAGCAAGTCTCTTTCTTTCAAATACCAAAAACTGTTTGACAAAATATGATTAAGCACGCCAACGTGAGCTGTTTGTGCAGACAATATGTGCGTTGGCCGAAAACTTTCATTAAAACCGGATATGTTTGAAAATTTTCATTAAATAGATTTGCAGTTCAAATAACCTCAGATTTATCTGGATCTAGCTTCATAGCAATATTCTAAATTCTTCGCACTTTGCCCAGACATTTTTTATTTCAGCAATTTGAATGCCCTCATCTTTTTATGTCCTATCATTGGCACATCATATCCTTATCATGTCCTCATCATGAAGTATACATCTCTTTTTTTTTGCACTGCTGCTTGAAAATTCTTTTAGCTGATCAGTAGCCAGTTCTCATTCATATCCTCCAATTATTCTTCAAAATCTTTTTCTACTTCCAAATTGAGATCTTGAGCAACTGCCAAAATATCCTTTGCCAATCTTCAAATTATGTCTCAAATAACAGTTTCCCTGTTAATTAATGTACTGATATAAGGATCATTTAAATTACTTGACAGTTACTAGATGGTGCTGAAATAAAATGCAATAAATATCATACTCAATTAGAGAATGCATACCATTTAATACAAACTGTGTGAAAAAAATATAAACAGCATAGGTGTGAATATTTTGCAAAATATAAATATGTTTTTTTTTTAAAAAAAACTATCAGCTGTTTATACTCATAATCAGGTACTTTTATCATGTTTCCTTGTAATCTGCCAACAATCAATGATGTGTCATCACAAAAGACATTTCTTGCTTACAAAAGAAATTCATCATTAACCAAGGTATACTGTATACCCAAATCATATAAAGTTATACAATTATGATTAGCAGTTTATTGTCTTTATGGTCTTGAATTAAGGAACATCAAATTCTAAGTATTCAACAAGAGATTTTTCAGCTACAAAAGCTGCTTGATATATTAATGCAGTGTATGAAGAGGGGATAAACTATTGCCAAGGAGACCCCAAAAATGATTTGGTAGGTCCCCAAGTTGAAATTTTAACATTACCAATTCTCTGTTTTCAGACTCGCATTACACAATGATGATTACTATCTGAACAATCTGATCCACATCAAAGTAAGCTCTTGTGAATTTGTACAGAAGATGAATTTTTTGTACTTATAGTCTTGAGTTAAGAAACATCAAATTCTAAGTATTCAGCAAGAGATTTTTCGGCTGCAAAAGCTGCTACAGTTCAGCGACATCTGCACCTCACCAATCACAGATTACTGGCAGTTCGTTCCCAAGCGACCAGATTAGCTGCATGGTTGGTTTTTGTGATTTTTGCCATGTATAACACGAATACAGAGCAGTATCCCTATGAAAGTTTTCTATAGAGGCAAACCTCAAATTTAGGCAGATAGGCCTGTGTATTTTGCCATATTCAAATTAATTTTTCTGATACATCTGAGCTACATCTGCCATGTATCGGAAAAGTCCAGAAATTGAGTATCACAGTGATTTTTGTCTTCTCAACACCAAGTACTGAATTTCCTTATGTATTTTCTCCTTTTCTTTGCTAATATCATAGCCCAAAAATTGAGAGGAGAAAATTATGCAAATAATTTAATATCCAGAGGGCACAGTTACAGTAAGAACATAACATAAAAAATAATCATGGGTAACTATGACAATATTATTTCTTTGAATGAAACCTACATTCCAATATGAATACATAGTAATTTTAATATTATAATTGTTTAACAAGATATCTTTATTTTTACTTCCCTGTAACTTGAATTTTGGCTGTTCAGTAGCAGAAGAAGCTTCGGCCTTCAGAAGTAGCACAAACAACAATAGTTAATGTATATGTTACTTCTTATGCTTTATATCATACATAACGAATTAGCAAAGATAAATGTACAGTTGACTTAACAAAATCTTATAGTGAATGTCAGTTTATGTTTGCTTCAACATAATAGGTCGGCTCTTGTATTAGGGTGGAATAAAGTTCAATAGTTAAAAGGCAAAGGTTCAGCATGACTTTTGCAGGTGTTTACAATGATTGTCACTGTTAGAAGGACAAAAACAATTACTGCATATATGAGTCCATTTTAAAATTTTGGGGAACCTGTTCTCTGGTGTCTGGTGAGACAATGGACCTGGTGGTTCAATAAGAACAGCTCTTCTACACTAACACATCAACACACCAGCATAATGTTGAATTACGATATTTAAGAAATCCTCTGTGAGGTATCATATCATAACTAAATTCAGATGAATAGATAATGCAAAAAAGTAAGTATTACAATACAAAATCTGAGACTATCATCACTGAGTGATTCTGGATTTTAAATCGTCATTTTAAATCTAGTAAGATGACATGGAAAAAGAAAAAAAAAATCATTGTTAATATTATTTTACAAAAGAGGTATTTTGCATAAAGATTTTTATACATTACCTCCATGTGAAATTAAAAGTGATTCAAAAGCTGAAATGGTGAATTTTTCTGAATTTAAAACAATACAACTAATATTCACTTTTCTGTTAATTTATTGACGACTGAGATATTATCATCACAATGAAGACTTCAGTTATACCATCTTCACTTAACATTTTCTCTGATATACCATTAACCCTTTGATGGTTATGAATGAGTTCAGCTCACAATCGAATCGTGCATCATAATGCGCGCAAACACGTTCCGCTCGGGAGCAAGATTTTGACTGAAATGGTTAGTAACCAGCACTACTCGCGTAGTGAAATTTTTTCCCAATGCGCGCTGACGAGCTGACTTCGTTCGCCATTATTATTCTGCACTGATTGTGTTTCAAAGGAATGCTACTCGCGAAATTTAGTTAGTTTTACTGTCTACAGATGGCAGTACGTCCCAGAATATCTTTTCATAATAACCTTCCTTTATTATGAATTTCTTTGCATAATGAAGGTGGATTTTTTTTTTTTTTTTTTTTTTTGACCTTGTTCATTTTATACGTATTTTGGCGCGGTTTTTAGGGTGTTTGTACAGTAAAATTGCTCAAAAGCGAAAGTTAGATAGTTATGATGATGATTATGATTGTGATACAGAAAGCTTATCAAGTTTTGAATCTGATGAAAACTTTGTTCACAGTATTTCAAGCTCAGAAGACGATTCAAGCGATGAGAAAGATTTTTCGAGTGTTCGACAGTGGTGTATAATTGATTCAAGTTCTCACGCTCCTAGCCGATTTAGTTTTACTAGTGATGTAGGCATGAAAGCTTGCGTGACAAATATTTCTGATCCACTAGAGTATTTTGAGCTGTTTTTTACTGATGAGATTATAAATCATATTGTTACGGAAACCAACATTTTTGCATAATGCCCCATTATGTGCAATTCCATGTTTTAAAGTATATCACACACAAAAAGATTTTCAGGTAATTACTGTATTTATACTGTGCTTCATATAGTTTTACATTAGTTGTATTTATTTAGTCTTTTCAATTTAATATTTGTCTTATATTTATAATTAACTATTATTATTTATATAATTGGTTATAATCATTTTTAATTTACAGTTTAATAATTATTTTAAAGTACGTAAAAACTGTTATTTATGTACTACAAATACTTTAAGAAATTTTTGAAACGCGCAAGGCGAGCTATCTACGGCATCGCCAGAGAAAGGTGACATTTTCGGAAGAACGGCGGGGGGAAAACAGCAACCACTTTCGACTACTGTTTACTCCTAATGCTGCGCGAATTAAGTAAACGTAAACTGCTCATTTCCATAACCGTCAAAGGGTTAATTAGAAAACTTCAAATTTTTTGCAATACCTAAAAATGCTTGGATTTGCAGCTCTCTTTATCATCATGAAATCTAGTAGATGGCTATAAATTAAATCAAGCACTTTTTTAAAAAAATATCTGCTGACACGCCCTCTCATGAACTTGCAACTCTCCCCATATCAAATTTTGTACTAAAATACTTCTAGAGTTCTTGGATGGTTTTACTTCATCATTGCTTTTTAAAAAGCTTCTTTATATCTGCATTTCGATGCGTACAAAATTCCAATATCCATTTGACAGATGCATGGTTTGGGGGTAAAGAGTAACATGGAGATGCATCATTAAGGAAAACTGAAATTTTGATAAGATTAACAGATGGAATAAAATAACAAGATCATATCAGAAAGATAATGTGTTAGTGTATGTGATTATGGCAAAACTTTGAAGGCTCTCTGCCTAAGGGGCCTTTGTGGAGGACTTTTTAAGAGAAACTAGCTCGCGTACATGTTACAAATGGGGAAAACCATGAAAATGCCCATGCAGCCAGCCTGTTCGAGGGATTCGAACCTCAGACCAAACTACCAGTCTTACAGCTTTACTTATTGATTAAGACAGATAGAAAAATGTTAAATATTCCAATCACTCAAGATTTTAAAGGTAAGTGGAGGCCATCATCAGTCAATGTACTGTTTATTGCCCATGGTATGATTCCCGAACCAGTAAGCATTTGAAAGTGACACACAGGAATCTCAATTTTGTTGGAAGAAAAATTTTATGCCACAACATTTTTTTGTTTCCCAGACTTTGAAAGGAAAACGAAAAATTGTAGCTAGTGGTTCAGATGACTGGATATTAGATCATTCAGGATATAGGATGTCCAGATTTCAGATTTTATACTGTATTTGGAACATCTATTATGATGATACTAATTTTCTCAAATTATGGAAAATTCAACAATATATTGGCAATAATTTCATACACAACTATGACTATGAACGGAATGTTTAATTTCCACAGCAATATCCCTATGAGAATGCATAAAATAAAAAAATACACAGACAAAGAAAGCCATACCTGGGAACATATAAATGAAGAGAAAAGAAAATTATAATTTTCACTGATTTATTAGATTATAAACATAAATTTTAATAGAGAAAAGCATACAATAAAAGACATTAACAAAAACTATTTAAATATAATTCACTTTGGGAAGGAGATATATAAATTACTAAAGCTCTTATTTTTAAGTTGGCATCAATGATAAAAAAAGGTAATGCAACTTACCAATTTTTGAGACATTTAGTTTTGAAAATTTTCGACAAGGAGTTGGAGATGAACTAGATTTGGGAACAGGTTCACTGCTCGATGAACCACCATCAACAGAATGAGCTAGAAGCCAATCCATTGCATCTGACACATTGCTGCATAGAAGACATAATTTGTAATATTAAATAACTGTAATTAATTTACAGAATTTAAGATTTGGAATATGCATGAGCATTTATTCTGTGATGCTCTAAATCAGGTGCTTCCGTGGAGTCTATAGACTCCGTGGGAATTGATGAAGTTTTAAAGGGAGTCAAATAGCTGAATATGTATCAGCAGTTTATCATCATAATCAAGATCTCATTGATTATAAAAAATTTATAGCTGAATATGTATCAGCAGTTTATCATCATAATCAAGATCTCATTGATTATAAAAAATTTATTAACAAAACTGATAATCAACTGGTATGGAAGAATTCATAGAAAATAAATATAAGGGGAAAACACACAAAAATTATTTAATATATTTTAAAACCCAGAAATATTTTTTAAAAACACATATTTTTTAAGCAATGAGTGCAGTATAAAAAATAAGCTCAGGAATACAATAAATCATAATTAAAAAATACAAAGAAAACTAATGAACCACAGCAAAACCTGTTACTACTATTTCATGTATGTCAACGTTTGAAACTTGTTAAAAGAAGCTATGCTAAAATGGCAGTTACATCATCAATATGTAAGTAGTGTAGCCTTTATATTTACAAGAACACTACAAGCTAACTGCTGCTCCCTCCCCACCATTACGAACACGTTGCACACTCTATATAACAAATATATATATATATATATATATATATAAGGAGGAGGAGGAGGAAAATTTTAGAAAGGGGTGAATACAAGAAAAAGGTTGGCAATCCCTACTCTTAGCGCGCTCATGACCAACATTTCGTAGGCTTGACGCAATGATTTCACTCTTACCAGTCCAATGTCACTTCTATGCAAAAAGCTCCCATCAATCACTTCGGCTCAGCATCACGTATCCTTAATTTGAAAACAGAACAATTTATTTGAATTTTTAACTGCCAGTAGATGGCTCGACATGGTAACGGTTTTCACATCCATTGAATCATATGGTATTTGACCTTCATGTATAGGCATCAGTTTCTGTTCTGTGCTTTTGGTTTTAATAGATTTATTGGTGTAAACAAATTGGGAATCATGGCTCTTTATAAGTGTGCATGTGAGTTAAAGGGACAGAGCTGTTTTTGTTTATTTCATTAGCAATTTCCTGTTTTTTGTCGTTTTCATTTTTTTTTTTTTTTTTTTTGTTATTAGAATGCGGGGAAGTGCATCCAGCTCATTGTTTTTGTTTATGTTACTCGCTTTCTTTGTTAGGAGAATGTAGGAAAGTGCATCTAGCTGACTATAGCAGGTGTACCGGTGAATAACACTGGGCACTCAACCTTTCTGTTTAACTGGAATACATTTTTTGAAAATTTACGTTGACAGAAAAGGTATTATAGGTAGAAGGGGATGCACTGCGTGCACTAAAAACAAGCAAAACTGAAAGCAAATATCATATTATCAGTGCAAAATATGCAATGTAGGACTGTGTTCGATGCTTGTTTTGAATTATTCCACACACAGCAAAATTTTTTAATTTGAATTTAATTACTTACAGATAATTATTGCTAAATCTTCTTTTCTTTTCTTTTTTTAATTTGATATTTGTAATTTTGTTTTCATTTGTATAGTATTTGATTTTGTGTGTATAGTTACAATTTTAGTATTTTGCATGTTTCATTTATTTCTATCATTGTGATATCCTTTATATTAATGTACAGGTTAGTTATAATTAAATTTCCACTTTGAAATGGTAATAAAAGAAAACCTACTCGACCAAAAGCTATCAAACTTGGTAATCGTGTAAAGAAGGTCATGGAAATTTATTTTCTGTGGGAAAAAGTTCAAAAACTCACCACCAGGGAGGGAATGGTGTTGTATGCAATATTGTTAAACAAAATAAGACATGAAGACATTGGTTTAAAATGTGATTAATTGTTTCTGAAGCATGTTCAATATGGCGTCCACCATTTTCCGAAAGCAAGTTAAATCGTACTTCTGCATTCTCAACAGCAGCTCTAAGCATATCAGAAGGAATGTTGCGAACAAGTGGCTGTATCACATCTTTCAATTTCATGAAATTGTTTAGTTATTACCATAATGGTGCTTTGAGATAATCCAATAGCCAAAAGTCACAGGGGTTGAGGTCTGGTGACTGGGATGGCCAGGAAATGGAAGCGTTTGCTTACAATCCGTTCATTCATGAAATGTTGCCTAAGTAACTGCACAGAGTCCAACCTGCATCAAAACTTGTCAGCAGTCAACGTACGAACGACTTTTTTACAACTTTGCATGCATAAGGCACGTTTTAACCATTCATTAATTTTCAATTAATTATTAATTTTAATCAATTTTATTACATTTGAAATCCATATATATATATATATATATATATATATATAAAACTGAACAATTAAAAATATGTCTTGTAAATTATAGGCACATTTAATTAGAAATTTTCATTTAACTCCTCAATTATGTACATCACTAAAATCTACTAATATATGTATTTTAAATCACTACAAATCATACAGAAAAATCAGAGTCTATAAATGATATATCTTTATTCCAAATTTGATTTCCACAAGGAAATAAAATTTTTAAAAATTTACAAGTAGATAACCAAAAACAATACATATAACTATTAAAAAAGTACTTTTAATTTATTTACAAATTACGAATGCAAAGATTTATATGTAGCATGCTCAGCAAGCTTAAGTTCTGATTTTGAGAATCTTTTTTGTAACACATTTCTTCATTTGCTTGCACATTTATTTTTTCAATCAAAACTGCTTAAAGTTTTAGGACCTAAATCTGGTTGAAATTCAATCTGATTTTGTTTTTTAGTAATAGAAAAAAATTCTTTCACAAGCTATATTTGAATGTGGTATTATTAAGACAGCAAGCATTACAATAGGCAATACTTTGTATTTTAATACACCCATTCATATCTTTTAATTTGGCAATTTCTCCAAATGCTATATCAGTAAGCAAATCTACAATTTCTTTCAGATCATCTACTTGATACAAAGAAAACTCAATTTGCATTTGATTAAGACATTTTTTTATCAGTACTGGCTAGGAAAGTATTCTTCAAAAAAAGAACAGATGAAGATGAAACTTCAGTTCTCAAATTGATGTCAGCAACTTTAGCATGTTTTAGAAATGGATCACTTAGTGGAAATTTATCAATTATATATGAACAAGCAGTAAAAAAAAGAAGTTTGCACAGAACTGAAAAATGATTTCACTTCAATTTCATTCAACTTGGCATTTTTTAAATATAATCTTGTTCTGCTCCAATCACTAAATTTTCATTTTCTTTTTGCTTACTACACTTCTGAAATGGAATAGATGTTAGAGTAACGCCTTCATTTTCTTTAGAAATTACTGATGGTTTTACAAATCTAACAAACAAATTCATTAAAAGTTCAAAAAGTTTTCTTCTCAATTTTTATTTATAAGAAGCTTATTGTTGCAAATTAATATTTTCTGTTACAAACAAAGGAAAGGATTTTTCAAAAATAATAAGTACAATTTTGGTAGGTAATCATAACATTTTTTTAAAGTTTTGCAATCTCTATTCTTCATTCTCACTGTTATCTGGTTGATAACCAAATAAATAAATAAATAAATAAATAAATAATCAGAGCATCCTACTATTCCAAAATCCTTGTTATACAGTCTAAAAGAAACAACCATCTCGTAGTGCAGTATTTCAAAATTTTATGAGCTTTTGCATTCTGTCCAAAATTTGTTGAGCAACTTTGAAGCTGTGCTTCCGTTTCAAACTTTTCTCCAAATAAAAATATACATCTATTAACAACTTTTTGATTTTCGAGCCAATTAATTTTTCAGTAGCATTTCTTTTTCCAGCTATATACAAGGTGGCGCAGGGAAACGGAAATTTTGAACGTTACAGTTGGCAGCACTGTAGAGCCGGCAGTTGTTCGAAACTTTGCACAATTGTTGTGAGCACATTGACATTTAGTAACCATGGATCATTGGACTGGTGCGAAAGGTGCAGTAGCTGTGAGAGCACTTTATAAAAATGGTGATAGTGCGACTGCCATGCAGAGATTTCGACAGCACTACCAGCTTGGACGTCATGGACGTGTCCCATTTGCGCATGCAATTACAACGTGAGTGCGTAATTTTGAAGAAACAGAATCTGCCTTGAAAAAAACCTCCAGGTGGCATTCCAATGGTTCAAACATTCTTTACACCGAGACTGTACGAGCTTAATCTTAACATCGAAAACATGTGGTTTCAGCAGGACGGAGCCACGTCACACACTGCTCGACAATTGATGGCAACAGTTCATCAACTGTTTGGAAGATGCATTATTTCACGTAACGGTGACATTGAATGGCCTGCGAGATCCCTTGATCTTAGTGTGCGCGACTTCTTCCTGTGGGGATATCTTAAAGGCAATGTGTACCGTACACATCCTGCAACAATCCATGAACTGACGGAGAACATTGAAAAAGAAATCACTGCCATTCGCCAAGATTTGCTACACCGTGCATTCCAGAGTTTTCATAACAGGCTGTTAGAGTGTGAACACCGAATGGGAGGACATCTTTCCGATGTTACCTTTAAAAAGTAAAGAGACACTTTTGGACATTTTGATTGTAAAAACATAAATGGCATGCCGAATACATGCACTTTCGTTAATAAATTACTAGTTTTATGAATTTATTCGTGGAAATTACATTATTTCGAAATTTCCCGGTGCCACCCTGTACAAGAGGATAACCTCAGATGATTATATTTGGTTGATGCATTTTGATAAGCAAAGCTACACCTTTAAATTTCCCGTATTACTAGAATTATCTGAAGAAAATGATAAGCAATTTTTCCATTCTAAACCTTTGCTTTCATTTATACAATTAAAAATACCTTCTCTGGTATTAGTTGTGCATTCTAAAATAGAAATCACTGAAGTAATTATCACTTATTTTTCTTTGCTATAATATGTTATAATCAAAGGGTACAGTTTGTTATCATTACTCCATCAGTACTTA